AAAAATGTGGAACATAAAATAAGGGTAGTGTATCCAATCTGATTCCAAGTTGGGAAGTTTGAAAAAAAAAGGTATATACATTCTATTAGTACAAAAAAAAAGTTAAGAATTAGATAAAATATTTTAAAAAAAAGTATTTTTTTCAAATGGCTACTAAAAAAAAAAAACATAAATACTAAAGTTTTTTGAAAAAAAAAACTTAATATATGAAACTGTTAGGTAAAAAAAATGGTCTGGGGGCACCAAGAAAAAAAAAAAAAAGGCATCATAAACCGGAAATTGTGGAAAAAAAAGCCTTTTTTTTTTTTTTTTTTTTGAAAAAAAATCTTGCTCTCAGACTGGAGTGCAGAAAAAAAATCTCAACTCACTGCAACGTCTGCCAAAAAAAATCAAGTGATCCTCCTGCCTCAGGCAAAAAAAAAGCTGGGGCTATAGGCATGCACCAAAAAAAAAGGCTAATTTTTGTATTTTTAGAGGAAAAAAAATTGTGCCATGCTGCCCAGGCTGGTCTCAAACTCCTGGGCTCAAGAAATCCCCCCACAAAAAAAACCCAAAGTGCTGGGATTATAGGTGAAAAAAAACACACCTGGCCAACTTGAGTCTTAAAAAAAAATGCAGTGCATAGAAATTCCTAGTAAAAAAAAAGCAGTATAATTAATTATATGACGGAAAAAAAAATTTCAGTAAGCTGGGAATTTGTAAAAAAAAATATTTCAATGGCATCAAAATCTAAAAAAAAAAGGAGGAAAAGTCATGAAAGTGGGGAAAAAAAAGCAATCAAGGAATCCAAAGGAAATAAAAAAAATTTGTGCTTTTGATCAATAGTGAGAAAAAAAATGCTTAGCACTAATAAATCCCTTAAAAAAAAACATGATTAAAAATTTGCCATTTGATGCATTTCTTTTTCCCATAGGGATAATCTAATAAAAAAAATGCCTTCAGGAGGCCACCCACATAAAAAAAAAAAAGGATCAATCTCAAATGGCAGCAAAAAAAACACACTCTAAATAACATCTCTACCAAAAAAAACCCATTGATGCTGTACACATTTACTTCCCTAACTCTGTTCTCTTCCCTGAACTCATAAAAAAAACTATTATTTACTTATACCCATTTGAAAAAAAAATAGACATAAAAAACTTAACATTTAAAAAAAAGAGTCTATTAATTTTCTTCCTGCAAAAAAAAACCTTACTCCAGGTCTGCTCTGTCTAAAAAAAACCTCATCTCAATAAATGATATCTGAAAAAAAAATAGCAATTGCTCAGGCCAAAAGCAAAAAAAACATCTTGATATCTCCCTTTCCCTCAGACTCCACATTCTATACATAAGAAGTCTTGTGGGCTTCTGATGACATCTGCTCACCTCTGCTGAAAAAAAAATGCCACCACTCCCTTTGCCAGGAAAAAAAAAGCAGCCCCCAAAGTCTCCTTGTCCAAAAAAAATATACTTTTCACATAGTAGCTGGAAAAAAAAATTCAAAATCAGATATTACTTTAAAGCTGTATGATGACTTCTTACCGCTTTTGGGATAAATTTCAAACTCTACCACATCTTCTAAGGATTTTCATGATTATCACAATACTTCTTTGACCTCAAAAAAAAATGAACTTGACTTCTTCTTCCTCTAAAAAAAACTCCTCTTCTTATTTTTAATTGATAAAAAAAAATTTTATACCTTTATGGGGTACCAAAAAAAAATTATTATGTATATACATAAGCACAAAAAAAAAGGGATGATTAAATCAAGCTAATTAACATATCCATCACCTCACTTATTTATCACTTTAAAAAAAAAGATGTGAAGTCTACTCTCTTATTAAAAAAAATGCAATACATTATTGACTACAGTCAAAAAAAATTCAACAGATCTCAAAAATATATTAAAAAAAATTATCTGAAACTTGTAGCCTTTGAAAAAAAAATCCCCATTCCCTCCTCCTGCTTCCAAAAAAAACTGGTAACCATCATTCTACTGTCTAAAAAAAAAGCTCAGTTTCAGCTTGACTTCTTCATAGCACTTATTATCTGATGTTACACACACTAAAAAAAAATATATATACATATACACATATACAAAAAAAAATATACATATACATATACACACATAAAAAAAAGTATGTGTATATATGCATATATTCAAAAAAAAATATATACACACCCATGTATATACAAAAAAAAACACATATATATATGTATTTATTTGTTGTTTGTTTGACTTGATTTTTTTTTAGAGAAAAAAAAACAATATGTTGCCAGGCTGATATCAAAAAAAAAGCCTCAAGCAATCATCCCACCTTGAAAAAAAAAAGTGCTGGAATTACAGATATGAGAAAAAAAACCCAGCCTTGGCTTGCATTTTCTAAAAAAAAACCACTAGAATGTAAACTCCAAACAAAAAAAAACTTTATATATTATATTCATTGCAGAAAAAAAAGCACCTAGAATAGCAAATGGACAAAAAAAAAATATTGAGATGAGATATTTTGATCTAAAAAAAAAGGAGCTCAATCTGGATGCCTGATAAAAAAAATGAGAATACCAGTTCTGCCATGGTGATATGAATTAGTGACTAGGGAGACTTAGCTGAAAAAAAATTGTTAGAACAGTGATAATATCTTAAAAAAAAACTTTAAGGTTTATAAAACCCTTTAAAAAAAATAATCTCCTTTGATTCTCACTCTAAAAAAAAAAATGCCAGCACAGCTGACTAGGAAAAAAAAAACCATTTTGAGAATGTATAAACTTTCTCAGACAGTAAAAGATATCTCGAAAATCATGAAAAAAAAGTGACCATCAGGCCAATGAGGATTATTTTGGAATTTCTATGGTGGGAGGCAGTGTTAAAAAAAAGGTTTAGGGATACAAACTTTGGAAAAAAAAAAATCTGGTTCTTATTCAGCCACTTAAAAAAAAAACATTTACTTTTCCCCACCTGTAAAAAAAAAAAATAGGATCAGTTGAAAGAACTTATGTACAGCTCTTAGCACTGTAAGTGCCTGGCATGTAGCAGTTGGCTGATCTATGTGCATATGGGAAAAAAAATTTTATTAGACACTAGGATGTTTTAAAAAAAATAGTTCAGCCTGGTCTCCCTGCCATCATTTGGATTCCTGAGGGAATCACTAACCCAGAGGAGATTCTTATCTGTTCCATTCTAAGCCAAAAAAAAACCTCTCTTCAAAATAAGAGAGGATAAAAAAAACTTCTTCCCAAATTGTGAACTGGAAGTCTCCAGGGCTATTCTGCATCATTTGAAGAAAAAAAAATGCCATTTCAGATGCCACACTACTAAAAAAAAAAAAAATATTTCAAATAACTACCTAAAAAAAAAGTCTGTTATATGCAAGGCCATGTAAAAAAAACCCAAGGCCTAGATGCTGAGAAGTAAAAAAAACCCAGAACTCAAATCTTAGAGCACAAAAAAAACAGCATCGCTTGAAAGTTAAACAAAAAAAAAAGTGCTCAGGTGTCATCCCCAAAGAAAAAAAAACATTTAGTTTAGCATAGAGATTCTAAAAAAAAAGCATACATCAGATTCACCTGGAGAAAAAAAAAAAACAGATTTCTGGGGCCCCCAAATCCTCAGTTTCTGATTCATTCATTTTAAAGTAAAAAAAAAGAATTTGCATATTAAGTTAATTTAAAAAAAAGGTGTTGCTGATGCTGCTGGTACCAAAAAAAAACTTTGAGAACCATTTGAATAGAGAAAAAAAACCCTAATAGCCTAACAAAATTAATAAAAAAAATCTGAATAATGATCAATTATATTAAAAAAAAACTGAGTCATCCACTTTCTTCTTTTAAAAAAAAATTAAATCACTATAAAATTATTCCAAAAAAAACCTGTTATTCTTTGCCAAATGTCTAAAAAAAATATCCATGTTGGGATAATGGGCCTAAAAAAAATAATGGCTCATCTTCCCTGTCATTAAAAAAAAAACAATGTGGCACCTTTGATTGCAAAAAAAAATAACCATCTGAGCTTCTGCAATTCAAAAAAAATTATATCTGTAGAAAATTATTTTTAAAAAAAAGTTAGTGCAAAATAAAACTCTTAATTTGGATATCTCTTCCCAGGAAGATCTGGGTTAAAAAAAAGCAGCCAGTGGTTAAAGACAAAGAAAAAAAAACCAGGAGGTTTATCAGTCAGAAGTAAGAATGAATAGGAAGGTGTGCCTTTAGTTGGAAAAAAAACTTGAGAATTCTACAGAGCAATTTAAAAAAAAATCAGAAATCTGAAGGTTATCTCCAAAAAAAATCTGGAGCTTTGGCCCATGGTAGACAGGTAAAATCTGTGGCTATCAGAAGGCAGGTGTGGTTCTCCAGGCTAGACTGGCTCTTCAACCCCTACCTACTAGAATTTAAAAGGATGTTTCCTAAAAAAAACCAGATTCCTTTATGATAGAGAACAAAAAAAATGGACGTCTTCTATAGCACATGAGAAAAAAAAGGGGAGACCGAGGACTGAGGATCAAAAAAAAATGTTTCTTTTGCATCAATGCAGTGAAAAAAAAAGAGGCATTAAAAAAAAAAAAAAAAAAAAAAAAACAGACAAAAAAAAACTTTGGACAAAAAAAACTGTTAAATAGAGGCTTAAGGCAAAAAAAAAAACATGTATGTGGGTAATGAGTAAAAAAAAAAACTGCAACTAATTAGGTAATACCATAAAAAAAAGAAAAGAAGACTTGGTTTTGGAGAAAAAAAAAATACATAGAAATATACTTCACACCAAAAAAAAATCAAGACAAAAATAGATATACTTAAAAAAAAGAACTGCAAAAAAATCACTTTATGAAAAAAAACTCAAAACTTTCTCTCCCTGTCACAAAAAAAATTTAATCAATGTATAAACTAATTATGTTTACTTCTTCTTAATCCTGCCTTTATCTAAAAAAAAAAAAAAGAATAAAATATTATCTTTGAAAAAAAAAATAAGAAAGAACATCAGAAGCTCCTACATGTTTTCCATTGCTTAGTTCTTATCTCAAAAAAAATACCCGGTGTTGCCTCTCACAGCTGTATTCAATCAGTGCTCGTAGCCAGGAAATGCTCTGTTCACCTCTTCTCCTCCATAAGAGAGACTCTTCACTGTCTTCTTCCTTTTTCAGATAAACACTCAGCAGGCCAGTTCCCCCTCCATACATGTAAAAAAAAAAGGTCAAGCAGTGTTTTCCAGAGACTCCTCGCAGAGGCCTGGACAAGAGGCGTGCTTTTTGTCCATACACCATGTGGGAGGCCTCAAAAAAAAAATAGTAGCCTTGAGGTGAATGCAAAAAAAAAAATTGTTAAAAAGGACACAAATTACAAAAAAAAATTCCATAGTGTTCTTTCAGAGTGTAAAAAAAAGATGACCTGACAAAGTACTGATAAAAAAAAAAATAATTTTGAAGAATACATATTATAAAAAAAAAATAAGTTACAAAAATGAGACCAGAAAAAAAATTTCTTAAATGATTTATAATTCAGAAAAAAAAGTATCTTGTATAGAGGTAATTAATAAAAAAAAATTATGCCACTGATACAGTGGTTAAAAAAAAAGAATTTATATTACTCATTCATGGAAAAAAAAATAAAGCTTCCAGACGTTGGTTTGGAAAAAAAAAGAGAATGGGTTTTGTAGTGAGGTAAAAAAAAGTTCAAGTCTTGACTCTAATAATTAAAAAAAAATGTGATTCTGGCCTAATGAATAAAAAAAAAACTTACATTCATCTTTTTAAGATAAAAAAAAAAACCTGTGCTACAGAATTGTATTAAAAAAAAAAATGACATACACTCACATGTCATGCAAAAAAAATTATTTGTTTCCTGTCCTGCTCAGAAAAAAAAATGGTTCGTGTCACCTTTTTTTTAAAAAAAAAAACATATTCTGTAATATTCTAAAAAAAAAAAACCAATTTCCTTTTCTAATTTTATTAAAAAAAAATTTTAAAATTTATTGGTTTCAGGAAAAAAAAGGATTAGTCGGCATGAAGATAGGGAAAAAAAATGCTGCAGCCAACTTCCATGGGCTTCCAATAGCCCATTGTATGCATCCTCTTTCAGCTCCAAGTGACTTCACATTGGTAGCCGGAAATAAAAAAAAATGGGACTATTTATACCACAGAAACTGGACATGTATACAAGTCAGCACATCCTTCCCAAAGAGAGCCAGTTGGTGTTAAACAATCACTAAAAAAAAACTGAAGTAAAACTATATATGAATAAAAAAAAAAGAGATCTTTTCTAGAGTAGTTCACTGGTAATATAATTCTGTGCATCTGAGGCCCATTTTAAAAAAGGCCCTGAATACTACATCAGTAGTTGTTAACCTTTGATCACTTGATGAAAAGTAAAAAAAACTGCTACTTGAAAAATATACAAAGAAAGTTTGCATACAACTTTGTTGCTTTGTTTGAAAAAAAATATCTGTTTGGAATGAATGTATATAAAAAAAAAAATTCTTATGTTGAAGCCCTAACAAAAAAAAGATAGTAATTGGAGATGGGGCACTAAAAAAAAAATTAGGGCTAAACGAGGTCATGAGGTTGAAGCTCTCCTGATGACAGTAGTGCCCTAAAAAAAAGAGACACCAGGGAGCTTGTTCTCTAAAAAAAACTTCAGGTACACACACCAAGAAAGGCCATGTGAGCACACAGCAAGATGTTGCCTGTCTGCAAGCTAGGAGAAGAGCCCTCACCAGGAAAAAAAAAAGCTGGCACGTTGATGTTGGACTTTAAAAAAAACACAACTGTGATAGGTAAATTTCTGTTGTTTAAACCACCTAGTCTATGATATTTTGAAAAAAAAGCCCAAGCAAACACCAACGTTTTGAAAAAAAAGATTTGTTTTTTACATATATGATGAAAAAAAAAATCTTTACAAAGTATCATATGTCAAAAAAAATCATGCAGAAATTGGTGACCAAATAAAAAAAAAAAATAAAGAGATCCCAAATAATAAAAAAAAATGAAATGGTTTCTTTATAGTTCAAAAAAAAAATGATGAATTCTAATCATTTCCAAAAATATGGCAATTGAGATATCCCAACAAGAATTAAAAAAAAGTCCCCTCTGTATGCCTGAGAAGTAAAAAAAAATTCTCTTTTTCTTATTTCTACAAAAAAAAAACTGAGTTCTGTAGGCTTATTAAAACAGTGGGAGAAAGCATCATTGGTCTTAATAAAAAAAAAAAACTGTGCAACCCCTTCCCCCAGTGAAAAAAAATATAAAGTTTTCACCCTGCAAAACAAAAAAAACTCACAGGATGTGGCCTGCATCAAAAAAAAAAATCTAAGGAATGATGTTGCCCCAAAAAAAAAAAATCAGAGCAGAGTTCTGTATCCGAAAAAAAAGGTTGCCTGTTATCAAGGCATGCTAAAAAAAAAGGCTCCACTAGCTGGGGATTCCTGAATGCAGTGAACAAGTAGAAATCAAAACCTCAAAAAAAATACTCTAAAGACTACATGTATTTCAAAAAAAATCAAAAGTAAATTTTAATTAGAAGAAAAAAAAATTTAAATAAGAAATCAAAATTATAAAAAAAACTTTGATCTGGTATGTTACATTTGAAAAAAAATCAACTTCAACTTTTCATCTCATTAAAAAAAATTTCATCCAGATGCAGGCTTAAGGAAAAAAAAATAGCTGCCAACTTTCCCATGATCAAAAAAAAAATAATAGCAAAAATCCTGTCAGTAAAAAAAAGTGCTCACCAATGACATCCTCATTAAAAAAAACAGTGGTCAGTTTTCAGTCTTTGTCATTTCTGTACCATCAGTAACATTGGACATAGAAAAAAAACACTTCAGAAAGTAGAATTACATTAAAAAAAAGGCTTGCAAGACACTGTATTCTCCAAAAAAAACTCCTCCCTCACTGGTCACTTTTTAAAAAAAACACTCTCTCTTTTCTGACCTCTTGACCCTGGAGTACCCCAAGGTCCAGTTTTTACTAAAAAAAACTTACTACTTTGATGATCTCATCTAAAAAAAAGGCTTTAAATACCAAATATGTTGTAAAAAAAAAGATTTAAATTTTCAGCCTTTTTGAAAAAAAATAGACTCATTCAAACTGTCAAATCAAAAAAAAATCTCACACTGAACATATTCGAAAAAAAAAAACCTAACAGCCTGAAGTAGACTGAAAAAAAAAATGTTCACACCCGAAACCTGTGAGTTGCACACCACTACTCTCTTTCTCTGCTTCTCCAAAAAAAAGCTATCAGGAATTCCCATTGGCTCAAAAAAAAAAATATATCCAGAATCCAGTCACTTCTCTTCTTATTGCCTCCACTACTATCATCCTGGTCCAGGCTGCTATCATTTCTCGCTTGGATTAAAAAAAAAGCTTCCCAACTACTCTGTCTGCTTCTACTCTGGTCCCCTGCAATCTCATCTCAAAAAAAAAAACATAGTGCTCCTTCTAAAGCAAAAAAAAAAAAGTAACCACTCATTTAAATCCTTCCAAAAAAAAAGCATTTCAGAGTAAAAGCTGAAGAAAAAAAAATTAGCTTTATATAGCTATATATAAAAAAAAACTATATATATATATAATTATATAGAAAAAAAAATATAATCTCCCACCTATTCTCTTAAAAAAAACATTCCTACTGGCTTTCTCCTCACAAAAAAAATTGCTTGGCCACACTGGCCTTTGTATTATTCCTGGAATATGGCAGGTATGCTGCTGCCTCAAGGCCTTTGTGTGTGCTAACCCTGGGTCTTCCTCTAGATATTCTCAGGTCTCACTCTCTTACCTCCTTTAAGTCTTTGCTCAGATGTTACCAAAAAAAATAGACCTGTTTTGACTATACTATTAAAAAAAACAATCCCTTTTCCCTGGCACTCCTAAAAAAAAATACCCTAATTTAATATGTTTTCCAAAAAAAACTGCCTCTTAATATACTGTATAATTTTCTTATTTTTATGTTTGCCTGTCTCTTTCCAAAAAAAATCACAAGGGCAGAGATTTTTTTCTAAAAAAAATCACTGCCACATTCCCAGGTCCTAAAAAAAAACTTGGAACATAGCAGACGCTCATTAATATCTGTTGAATGGATGAATGAATGCATTTAAAAAAAAACAGCTCTAAGCACAAACCAATTTAAAAAAAACTAGGGCACATGGCTCCACCACAGAAAAAAAAAATGTGGGAAGTTCTTGGCAATGAAAAAAAAACTTGACTATGATGCTTCAAGACAAACTAGAGCAAATCCAAGTTGTGGTAAAATTAAAAAAAAAACAAAGCAAATCATCTCGAACAAGTAAAAAAAACTCAGAAGTATTTTTAAAATGAACAAAAAAAATAATTCTTTGAGTTCATTACCTTCAAAAAAAAACTGGTAAGCAAATTGGTCCACAAGAAGCACGGGTTTTTGCACATTCAGTGATGAAAAAAAAAATCTTCTTTTGTACATATTTTCTTTAAAAAAAACTAACTTAAGTTAGGTCAATGTAAAAAAAAAAACAGATATACATAATCCTAACAGAAAAAAAAATCTAATTTAATTCCATGGAGAGAGAAAAAAAAGCATGAAAATGACCATGGTATATCAAAAAAAAATGTACAAAGGAATCCCATGCTATAAAAAAAATAAGTTAGTAGCATGGTAGATGGAAAAAAAAACCTAATACATTTAACTTAAAAAACAAAAAAAACCAAAAGTCATTTTTAAGACAAGAAAAAAAAATTCACACCTGGCTTTGGAGCTCTGAAAAAAAACACTTGAATCCCAGGTAAAGGACCTTAGCTATAGATGAACTTCTCAATAGCGGGGAAAAGCTCCTCTGAAGATGCTGTCACTGGGGAACTGGAAAGTAGAGACTAAGGGCCCTGAAACATAAAAAAAATTCAAAATGGAAGGGAAGCAATGAAAAAAAAATGAGAGAGATGACCTAAGAATTGTCTTTTGTTTAGGGATGATGGTTGTGCATTCCTAAAAAAAACAGTACAAGTCTTGACCAAGATCAAAAAAAAATTCTGGAAGAGAGGAAAACTCTTAAAAAAAAACAGGATCATTTGATTGACTTCTTTAAAAAAAAGGCACAATGGACTAATTCATTTACAAAAAAAAGGTTAAGCACTAGTCTGGTTGCCCAGTTCTTCCCAACAGGTTGGGACTCTAACTAAAAAAAAAATGGCCTGCATAGCCTCCTCTAACCAAAAAAAATTTGGAGCACACATACCTCTACAGAAAAAAAACCTGAAGTCTACTATGCTTTCAGTTTATGCACCTCTGGGCCGCAGGTATCAGGCTGAAAAAAAACACTAAGGTTTCCAG